ATTTTATAGAGTGATAAAAAAAACACGGACTATTATCATTTTAAACCTAACACTCACCCCAAATGATACACAGCCTTTTGTTTCTCTCTGCAAGAATGAACCAGGTAAGATTTAAGGGAACCATGCTGCAACTTTTAACTTACAGTAAGAGTATTGAAGAGTTAGATATTTTACATCCTAAAATAGTTTACTATAACTATAGCATGACAAAAAAAAAGATGTTCTTTACCTATGTATAAAATCCAGAACTCCCACTTTATTACAGCTAAAAAAGTTTAAGTGTTTGTCTGGTGGTCATTAGCTTGTGTCCTACTGTACATCAGGATGGTTATGAACCTGAAAAATCACAGTTTTGTACAGCAAATACACAACATACAATGACAATTACCATTTTTTTTACAGTATGAAATTTTACCATAGATTAACTTTCCCATTATGACATTTTACAGTTTCAGCATCATAATTGTGGTCTCAGCTTCACCATAAAAACCTAGCACAAGAATTCACCTCTGATGCCAGGTCTATATAACATAATCTAGAAAAACATAAAATAAAATAAAAATTTAGTTGTGACACTTGTTTACTTGAGTAAGTCTTCCACAGGACCCCAGCGTTGGCTGAAAATGTCTTAACAAGTATGTTATCTCTTCCCTTTGGTATAATTCCCTTACAGTGTGGACCCATGAGTTGTAGGAAGACGGCTCTGGTTGCTTCCACTTAATTGTGATGCATTTCAGGGCTGCTGTAAGAAAAACATTTAAGAGATAATTTGCCTGTCCTTGCAGCCCAACTGGAAAAATATTGAGTATTGCAACCATTACATCCTTGGGGATAACCTCTTGAAAGATTTGGTTTACACACAGAACATGTGTGTATGATTGGGAATTGCAGAGCCACAGTTTCTCCAAGACAAACTTGGAAATTTAGGATCCATCTTAGCGAATATGTGTGGCGCCCTGAAATATCTGCTGATAATTTTCCATTTATATTCCCGCCATGTATTTCAGCTTGTAACTCGATGTGCCTCATTCCACACTTCTTCCCACATATCATGAGAAATGCTTTTGGCTGTCTCTTTTTTTTCTGTCCAAGTGGGTCCACTAATGTTCATGGACAAAAACATATTATATAATTTTTTGATCAGCCCCTTATCTCCTTCACCTTGTTGGAATTGAATCTGTAATTGTTCTATTAGCGCAGGGTTTAGGGCTCTTTCCCAGCCCCTGTGTGTTAACAAAAAGGAACACAACTGTAGGTATCGGGAAAAAAAAATTTTGGAGCTTAAAATGCCCTTGCAATTCTTCCAATGACATAAGATAATTCCTGTGAATTAACTGATGTAGAAACGTCAGCCGCTGTCCAGACCATTTTTGAAAAATCTTTGTCCAAGGAATTAGGGGTGAAGGATTTGATATGTCCAATGCTTGTTAGTAGTGATAAAGCTCTTGGCAGCTTAAAAGCAGTTCTGGCTTTGTATCAAATGGTAAGTGTGGCTCTAGTCCACAGTGGCAGTTCCTTTATTGGAATATCTAAAAATGGCAATACCTTTAACGGTACAGAGCACTTCACTTGTTCAATGCTCAGCCATCTCGTGTGAGAATCCTCTTGGATCCATGAAATTATGGGCTTTAACTGTGTTGCCCAGAAACAGAATTTTAGGACAGGAAGGTTAAGACCTCCTTCTGCCTTGTTTCTCTGTAATGTTTCATATTTTATGCGGGGGCGATTGTTCTGCCATATGAACTTCGGTATCATTTTGTCCAAATCAACAAAAGTGGATTTTGGTATTCCAACAGGTAACATCTGGAACAAATAGTACAATCTGGGGAAGAGATTCATACGAATGGTTTCAATGCAACCTGAGAGGGACAAAGGCAACGCTGACCACCGCTCTAGGTCTTTCTTGATTGTATCCAGCGTTTTACTGTAGTTAGTATAGAATAAATCATTTAATGAGCGAGGAATATTGATGCCTAAGTATTTGATGCCCTCTTTAGCCCACCTAAAGCCACTTTGTTGTTTTACCCCCAGTGGTATATTGCTATTATCATCCAATGCCTCTGTCTTCTCAACATTTATTGTGAAGCCAGAAAAATACCTATGTAAAGAAATCATTTACTTCAAGCATGGTATCGATGATGTAGGATCAGACAGATATAGCAAAACATCATCTGCCAGTAACTCTAACAGCCGCTTGTGCAGCTGAGTGTAATGTATGTATCCAATCTATGAACTTAGGTCCGAATTTAAACCTCTTTAATGACTGAATAAAATATTTCCATGACACACAATCAAAGGCTTATTTGGGCATATTACAGCCGTCATCGCTTTAAATTCTTTTTGATGAGCTATGATATTTAATAATCGTTGACATTATTTCCATAATTTCTCCCAGTGATAAACCCAGTTTGATCCGGATGTATAATTTGAGTTATTATGCCATTTAATCGTCTAGCCACTATAATTGTTAGGATGCGCACGTCTCCATTGAGGATTGATAACAGCCTATATGATCCACAGTCTGCGGGGTCTTTTCCTTCTTTGTGCAAATTGACAATCACTGCATCAGACCAGGAGGGCGCCATTTTCTTAGCTTCTAGGGAATGGAAATATGCTTCCAGTAAAAGAGGGGTACAATATCTATGAAATATTTAGAGAATTCACTCATAAAACCATCCGGGCCAGGACACCTATTATTTATGAGGGATAAAATAACTTTTCTAATTTCTCCTCACGAATTGGCCCATCTAATTGTTTAACTATTGTTTCAGGTTATTCAGAAAAAAATTTATATTTTGCAGATAATTTACAATTTCATCTTCATAGGTGTCTGTGTCTCTGTATAGACTTTGTAAAATTCTGCAAATGCCTTGGCTATTACTTTTGGTTTATGAACTGATTTATTAGCCAATTTTAGCTTTTGAACCACATTTGACGTCTGCTGTTTTTTAATTCGGAAGGCCAGGAGTCTTCCCGCTCTGTTTCCTTTTCCTAATACTGCTGTTTGTCAAAGCAGGGTTGCCCACGATCTTTTCTGATAGTAGATCTTGAAGGTCTCTGCGAGTTTTTCATTCAGGATAGTTCCAGATCTTTATTTTTGTCCTCTAAGTCTTTCTGTTTAGCTGCTTTTTGTCTTTTTTTGTTTGTTTTTTTGTTTTTTGTTGTGAAATAGGCCTTAGCACAACCCCACAGCATAATAGGAGATGTTTCAGGAGTGTTATTGATTTTCTAGATAATTCTTAAAATGATCTAGACTGTAAGTGTTTAAGAAGAGAGACGTTAAATCTCCATTGCTTAAAAGATTACTTCAAACCTATATTCCACTGGAGCACACCAGGTGCATGATCAGAGATAGTGATGGGCAGATTGTGATATCTTCAGTTCTGTGTAGCTTGTCTTTGGCTATATAAAAAAATATATATATATTCGCGAATAAGATGCATCCCGGCTTGAATAAAATGTAAAATTTCTCTCCTTTGGGAATTTGGATTGCTTCACATCCACCAATCCAGTTTCCGCCAATAGATTTTTGAGCATTTTACCCATCTTTGGTATAGGGGTCTGAGAAGCAGATTGTCTATCTAGATTAGACATTGCTCAATTAAAATAACCCCCCATAATTAGGAGGCCAGAGCTGTATTCTGTTAAAAACTATCCTCATAAACCCTGGTGCATCTTCATTGGGAGCATATATCTGCAAACTGTATAAATGTTTAAATTGTCTTAGGAGTAATTATTCAGAAATGCATTTATTTTCAATTTTAGTAGCTGTCTATGAAATGGAGAGCAAAACATGCAGCTCTAACACCCTGTTTGTACCACTATTGTAAGACAGGAAGTGAACTTGACAAAAGCCTTTCTGACATGTTTTTAACTCTTCCTACAGTCTTAAATGCCGGCACCATAGCAAGGGTATCAGTAGCAGCATCTGTTACAGCGGGTTTACTTTTCTTTGGGCTGTTCAAATGTTGTAAGTATCTGTTAATTTATTATCAACATATTTAATCATTGTCTTTGAGATATGTGTTTATTCTGTTTTTTCAAACTTATTAGATAGGCAGGTGGCGGGTGAGCGAGGTCAGAGCGGTGTGGCTGGTGTTTGGTCAGATCAGCATACCCAGACAGACCTGCATACCAATAGTCGGTACACATGCGTAAGACGTCAGATTTGCAGGAGTCTAACCCTATAAGTGGAAGGAAGTCTACCAAGCTATGCTGGTGAAGATTCATTGTCATCCAAGTCATAGTCATTGCAAAAAAGTTTAAAATGTTTTCTAAGTCAAGACAAGTTTTTGGGCTACTATCTAAAGCGTCAAAGTCAATACTAATTCTTACAAAGGTTCCTGGATGGGAAGTGAAACATCATTAAACTTGGAAACCATGTTCAGTGGATTGATTTTTACCTTTTGTGGGTTTCTACTAGGCTACTTTATTTATGTGTGATATGGTAAACAAAAAGTTGTAGTTTAAGGTAAACACACAAACTTACAAGAAAAGCAAACACAAAGTTTTAGTCTGACGTAAACAGAATTTAAAGCTACAGAGACAGCCTCACTTTCTGTGTTCGCTACTTCACACCCTAACGTAGCAGCTAACCTGTCCGATTGTCATACTGATCTGCAAATGTAACAGTTGCAGATCAGTACGTCAAAACAGGTGTTTAAATGTACCATTGTGCATGGGCATACATGCCTATCACTATGGGTATGCTGGTCTGACGGGGTATGCTGATCTAAAAAAAATACCGACTGTCAGCTGAAAGAATCCGGGAGAGGTCCGCTAGAGGAGCTGCAGAACAGGATTCGAGCTGAGACGACAAGGGAGCTTGGCTTGAGAACCACTGGGTTCGAAGAAGTGCTCTAGAGCGGGATCCAGTGCGTAAAGCAACCTGAGACAGGGGAGACAGCATTAGTGTGACTAGAAAGAGCTGTCAAAAGACAGTGGCCAACTGAGGCATACTACATAAGGTTAAAACTCTCCCACATTTACAGCCTTCAGCTTCATTGCTCCCCTGTCACAGCGTTGAATGAGCCACAGCGGTGCTCCAAGCCCCCCTGCCGAACAACCACCTGTGGGAGAAACGGAGAGGAGTTCTGACTAGCGCTACCTGCTGAGTCCTGACAATCATACAGTCAAAGTGATTCAAAGTTTTTCATCTAAGGAAAACCAGTTGATTGCATCGACTCATTGACTCGAGGGCAATCCCTCACACTTAGCATGCTTGTAGTGACAGTGGAGAGGAAAAACTCCCTTTTAACAGGAAGGAACCTCCAGCAGAACCAGGCTCAGTGTGAGCAGCCATCTACCGACTGGGGTTCAAGGAGACAGAAGCAGAGATACAGAAATAAGCAGAGGTACAAAAGGCAACTGTAAACCAGCTCTACATGCAGCCCTGTGCAGAAAACCCACACCCAGGCAGTGAGCTCCATGCCAGCTCACTGGCAATGAAGAGAGCACATCCTGCCAGTCACAGTTCAGGAAACAGGACTACACTGAAAAATAGGCAGTGCTCAAACATCTATCGACAAAGGTGTTGAAATAAATAATAAGCATCTCTGAACAAGAAAGAACTTTAACCCTCTGCCAATCAATTTGGGGATTGTAAGCCAGGTGACTCCCAAAATGAGAGGAACCTTTGCCGACTGAATTATCATAAATTCAATTTTCTCACCGGGATTACCCAAGTAGTCAGGCTAATTTTCTCAGTGCCAGTTACAAAACTTTTTATATGTGAGTTTTTTTGGTTCTAAAAAATTTGTTTACACCCATGGCTATCAAGTAAGAAAACTCACCCCAGACTTTTTGTTTGCAAATGCTCTGGTATCCTAGCCTGGGTGCCAGTCAGAACTTAGCCCCGCCCACAAGGTTTGAGTTCGGGGAAGTTCGGTGTGGCTCTGCTCCATAGTAGCACGAGTATTATCGCCCACTGTCAGGCGATCCAATCAAATTGTCAGGGCGGACTTTACACGATGATGGACAGATGATCAAGAGTAACGTAATCAACCACGTGACCAAAGCGCGCTAGGGTGACAACAATAATGGCTGCCGCTGGATAGTTTGGGTGAGTAGATTCTGCTATTAGGTCTGTTCTAGAAGATATCGACAGCAAATTAATTTTAAAAGAGGAACAGAGAAACGCGATCAAGTCTCATCTTCTTATTCTAGGCGTGCAACTGCACGCTTTGACTTTTGTTGACAACAACTATGCCCTGCTTAACATACGTCACGCACTCCGTTGCTCTTATTGGTTGTAGGTCTATCCAATTGAGTGTAGAGGCATTTTTTTTCCTGGTTCGTTCGAAACACGCCCCATAATCACAGCTCTATGGAGCAGTATCAGACTCATATTCTGACTAGAATTGAGTCGGACTACGTCAGGCTACTGGTATCCATCCATTTCACATATTCTTGTTAGCAAGATTAATTTAAAAATGTATAAATAAACAACCACCAATGTTTTCTGGAGAGATACTGTTAGTGATAAGTTTAGAGGGTTGGTGCTATATCATCAATGATGCGTGAAAGCTTATTTCTTTTCTTCAAGAGATTATTTTAAAAAAAAACATTTAATTGCTTTACATAAAACAATAAAAACAACAGTTTATGTCATAATTTAGGATGTGAAAGTCTTTATGACATTTTGCTTTAAATAGTTCCTACCTATACATCTGTCAGGTTTATAAAATGCACAACAATCCATTTGCAAAAGAAGATCACACCCAAAAACCCCTTAGAAATTAAAACTCTGGACTTTGTTTTAAACGTTGAAGACGTTTCGCTTTCTGTCCAGGAAGCTTTTTCAAATCAAAATGGCAGAAATAGTGTTGAGTTTGAGGCCTTATAGAGTGGACCAAAAAACAAAGCCTTGTATTGTCTTAGAAAATATAAAACTTGAACCAGACAAACCTTGGGAATAGGCAGTTGTTTGGGTTCTTTGTTAGCCTGCAATACCCCATACCTGTCAATGTCTCTGAAAGAGGGAAATTGTTGTCCTGGCTGAACAGGTTAGATGTTCTGCAGGCTGGGGTTGCGATTATAGCGGGAAGGGATCAACTTTATCGCTGAATTGAAGGTTTTTGAAAGTTGAAACCTGAGTTCACCCCCTCTGTTTAAGATCTCTCTTAATCTATAAATGGCTTCTTTCCTACCCCTCTTAAACCACCTATCTTCTTTGTCCAAAATGTGAACATTCTGGTTTTAAAAAGAATTTCCTTTGCCTATAAGGTGTAGATGTACCGCTAGTGGCGTTGCTAGGGTTTAATGGGGCTCCAAGCAAGACATTTCTGGGTCTCCACCCCACCTCTGCACGCAAAAGAAAAAAAAAAAGTTTTGGGAGAAATAAATGCACAATTTCTAGAGCATTTAAGATGTATACTGAAAAAAATAGACTAGAATAGATTAGTGGTTCTCAAAGTGAGGTCCAACAGAAGTCCATGACAGCCCAGGCCTATGAATAATCATTGTAAATAATCTGACACCAACAAAATATATAAAATATGAACTTTAGTTTATTACAAAAGTGCACTGTAAATTGTTAAACTTCAAATATAAAAAGTAAAATCTAGTAAATAATTAAACAATGTAGGAAGCCATATAAAAATGTAATAGCCTTAACACATGCAGTGGAGATAAATCATACTAAATTAAATAAATATTTAAAAATTAGGCTCAATATTAGCAGGTTAGCTGCTAATATTGATGTTTCTTGTTAAGCAGCATTCATCATGATTAATTGTTAGCTACTGTATGTCCCTTTGGAGTCTGTGACAATACAGTAGGTCAGTAGGTAAAATGCTCTTACCACTGTCTTTCTTTCATTTTTCCTCTTTTTCTTTTCTCTGTCTCTTTTTTTCTGCCCCACTGGGATAACTCTTCTTCATGACTCTCTCATGGAAGGTTGGGAAGCTTTACCATAAAAGTTCACCTTTTGCAGAGTCGCGCCAGCAGCGTCAGATGCAGGCTGAAGGCATGGGGTGGGGGCCCAACAAGGGGGATTTTGACTACGGTGTCATTTCATTGTAAAGTAAATCCCCAGTCTTGTCGTTGCTGTGAAGTACAATTTGTCAGCCATTGGGGGCCCCCTAGAGGCCCGGGGCTCCAAGCAACTGCCTGGCCTGCCTGTCCACAAGCCCCGCCCCTGTGTACCATTGAGTCTTGTCCAGAGAAGGTCGCTCTCCTATGTTGGGCCATGCATCTGTGGAGATGTTGTTTGGTTTCTACAATTTAAAGATCAGTGCATTCCTCGCTGCATTGAGCTGCATAAACCACTCTGCTCATATTTGGTCTGGGGGTTTTGTCTTTAGGATGCAGTGGTCTCTGTTTAAGGGTGTTGTTAGGTTTGAGATGTACTGGGATTTTGTGTTTATAAAAAAATCCTCTTGAGTTTTCCTGAGATTCCAGCAACAATGGGAGGGCGATGTTTTTGTGTTTAATCTTCTCACCGTTATGTTCTTCATGCTCGGCCCGGTGTTGTAAACTTCTGATGACAGAAAGTTTGTGTTCCAGTGTGTTGCGTGAGTCAAAAAGAAAATATTGGTCTGTGTGAGTGGATTTCCTATGCACTTCAATGTTGAGGTTTCCATCTCCTTCCATGCTCACCAAACAGTCAAGAAAAGGTCACTGGCATCCTTTCTGGTGAATCTAATGTTGTGGTCAACTGAGATGTTGTGCCTTGTGAAAGCTTCTCTTTCTTTTAGCTGGATTTTGTGAATCTGTCATTCACATATCTAAACAAATGGCTCAGTGGTGTTTCTTTTACAGTGTCCAAAGCTCTCTTTTCCGTCTCTTTCCTGTAAAGATTGGCTACAATTGGTGACAATGGAGATCCCATGGCACAACCATGCTTCTCTGTGTAAAAATTATTCCTGAACTTGAAATAAGTTGTGAAAAGGCAAAAGGTCCAGTAGGATGCAGATCTGTTCCAGAGTGAAATTAGTCATGTTGTTTAGGTCACTGTCTTGTTAAAGACATTTTCTGACTGTTTCGACTGCCTCTGATATAGGTATGTATGTGAAAAGAGAAGTTACATCAAAAGATACCAGGGTTTCTCCTGACGCCATCTTTAAATTTGACTTTGTTAGCAAAGTCTTTGAAGTTTTCTATGTGATGCGGTGTGTTTCCCAATATATTCCAAATAAGCATGGAATATCCTACCCTGGATATAATCTAAAAAATAAAAAAACTCAGTTTGACTCAGCAAAACTCAGCTTGGCTATAGTACCCAAAACTAGCAAACATTCTGTCGTCGAGGTAGTGGCAGTCAGCAGCTTAAGAACACCCCGTCAACGTGGTAACCCCTTGCAGGTGTGTGAGGAGGAGAATCAGAACCAGGCGCCGCCTGGTGGAGGAAGGAAGACAAACACACAAACACACAGACCACACAGACTGGAGTCCTAACAGTTTGAAGTAGTCCGTGGTTTCTTTCACTACAAATTACTTAACATTTTTCTTTGTATTGGCTTTCAGGGAAAAGAAAAAGGAGAGCGAATACAGTGAATGAAGTTCCGATAAAAATTGTAATTCTTTACTTGTCAAATAAATATGACATGTCAAAAAATGTTGGACGATATCTTGAGAATACACTAATTTAGTTAATTTATGAGCAGTAGATCATCTTTTTATCAATACAAACTCTCGACCGCACAGGCTTTTTTTAAAAATCTGTTCAAATTAACTTTATCTCAAATCTCCCACTTTTCTGTCTGCTGAAGTAATCCTGCCAATAGATAACTAAGTATTTTTTTAAATCTGGAAATTGTATGTAAAGATTGTATTTTTAATATGTCACCTCTCAGTTGAGAGAATATGAAGAGCCATACAGAGAATGTCAACTAAATATGTTCTTTTCTTTTTTCTTTTTTTGCTTCAGTCTACTTATATTTCTGGAAAATCCACGACCACATCGCTATAAAATTCTGGCAGAAGCTTCTCCATCTCCTTCTCCAACCTCGACTGCCTTGGTGCAGCTTATTGATTGCTTGACCAAGCCAATGATACTAGAACCTGCCCATACCAAAGGCCTGAAACAGAGCTGATAAGAGCAAAACCAAACCTGTTACATCCAAGAGGA